GGGTAATCCTTGTGGAAGGATTGGAAGGAATTGACTTGCATAAGATTGATGGGTGACCTCTGGTAAGCTGTTAACATGTGTATAGGAACTTTTATCAGTTTTTATTATTGGGGTTTATATGTTTTCTCTATAATGCTATTACCTCAAGAATAAATGTGCTTGCTTAGAAACTGTGATAATTTATAACTGCAGAAAATACACTGGCTATAGCCTTCTTAAAGAAAGTAAAATGCAGGCACTGGCCTGTTAGGCAGTCTGGCTTTTTGAGGATCATAGTATAAATCCAGGGAGCTATGTAGCCTAAAAACCCCAGTCAGGAGGGAGAGAGACGCAGGTCTCTGCCAGAAAGGTGAAGACTGGGAGCCAGAAATCTTCAAGTGAGTACCCTTGAGGGACATGAAAGGGGAATACAGGTGCAGTTACCCTGAAACTGTGAAAGCTTTCATATGATTTCAATACTTGAGACCTACCTTATTATGAAAAGAGAAAAGACATTTACAGTCAATTTTACACTGGTCTGAACTGTTAAGACAATATTAGCAAAGCTTTACGCAATAAATCTTTGCCTTGAAAAGTATTATATTTAAGTCTTAAGGGAAAAAACTGCATACCTTCTGCATTGAGATGCATCGTTTCAAGCGGCCCTATAAATGCATACCGCATTCCCAATCCATCAGACATCACAAGGTCTAGATCAGCAGGAGATATTACTCCTTCCTAAGTGGCAAAAGGGGGACAGAAAAATCTCAGTGCAAATAATTTTATAGAATTTTGCTTAGTTTCTTTATTTAGAATATAATCTGTTATAGCAAAATTACAAAATACTACCACTAGAGTTAGCGAATAATTTGCAAATAGAAAACAGATCCCCAGACACATCTCTCTTATGACAGGACTTATTATTGTTTAGCATTTATATGTATTAGCTAATTTAAGAGATGGATTTTTTGCATATGATTGTCATGTTTTAGCATCAAATTATATTCTTTGTAAATCTGAACAAATGAGTCTCTTCTGTGATCCCAGGGGCTGCTTAGGACAGTATTTATTTTTAAGGGGGAAATAACCAGAAAGAGAGATTAAATTGCTTAGAAGTTCTGTTTAAGTGTATTAATATTTTATTTATTCCCCCCCACCAAAAAGCTCCCAAAATAGGGGAAGACCCAAAAAACACAAGTAGTAAAGGAATGGAAAAGGAAAGTAAGGAAGGGAAGGAGGCAGGAATGGGAAAAGGGAGTGACACCTCAGTTTCCATCCACTAAGGATTAATCAAAAATTTCTAAGAAGTCAAACCAAATCTTTTCAAATTTGTCTAAAGTTCCTCTTCTCCAAAATGTTACCCACTCTTTAGCTGTCAGGGCAGCCAAGTCGCTGAGCCACGCTTCTATCGCGGGAGGCAGTCTGCTCTTCCACCTAAGCAACATGAGTTATTTGGTTACAAGCAGTGCTCTAGAGAACCAAGCTTTCCATGAGTTGGAGAGTTTCCAAGATGATGGGCTATATCCCCGAACACAATTCTGGGAAGTCATTTTTAAGGGGCTATCCATTATCTCTTAATCCTCCTGCCTACTTCTAGCCAAAAGGATTGTATCCAGGGACAGTCCCAAAACATGTGAGCCAGTGTGGCTCTGAGAGACCCACATCTCCAGCAGCAGTTTGTTCTGACAAGGCCCAGGCACTGTAACCTATCCAAGGACCAATGTGAACAAAATATAATCTTCTGATGGATCAACCTTCATCGCAGAGCAATAGCAGAGTTATTAATATATTGCAAGGCAACTCCCCATTGCCTAGGGTTCAAGATATACACAAATCTTAGTTCCAGGCCTGGAACAGACAATCTAAATTAGGGAGGTTCTTTTGGACCAGGAAGTTGTAACAGGCTATAGCTGGTTGGTTGACCCTATGGAGCTCTCTCCACATCAACACAATTCTGGAGTCTCTGGTGCTCCCAGCGCATCAGGACCAAATATGTCCTTCAAGAGATGCTTAAGATGCAGGCAATGCCATACAGCTGGATGGTTGTATTGTCGTTGGAGTGACTGGAATGGTAGCCAATACCGTAGGGGACATTTTACAATCAAAACATTAACACACTGAACCCAGTATTCTTGCCAGTGGGAGGGGATGGACCAGCTCCTGTTCCAGAAGCAGCCAGGGAAAGGTCTGTTCTGTTCTGTCCGGAGCCAACCGGCTGCCTGGCTAAAGATATGGGCTGTATGATAATGATCCAGATGAGATTGGGAGTTACAATCTACACAAAGCCAGTCTTGGCCCCCCACCCCCAGAGAAATAATGTAAAGATTTTGTTAAGTTTTCCTAAAATAAAACTGAGAACAGTAACTGGGAGATCTCTCAGGACATACAGTATTTGGGGAAGCACATTCACTAACTTGTCAGACCACATTCTATTATTTAGTTACTACATCTGCATATTACCAATTTTAATTCATTTTAGTCATTATGTGCTTTTCTCATGAGGTAGGGAGCAAAGGAGATAGTATTGCTGAGCATATCATCGACAGAACCGGGACAAGAGATTATTTTATCAAAATCCAGAGACTGCAGCAGAACTTTTGAATACAGGAATTTCAGCTAGTGTTCATGCCCCCCTTTTATTCTCTAGCATTTATCCCCCCGGTTGCTGGCTCTTACTGCAAAATAATCATTTTGACAGAGGAGGCAGGTTTCTCATTGTCCCTGAAGCCATCCCAAGGAATTAGCTGGAAAAACGATGATTAAAGAGAGACAATGCAGCTGTCACCCATTTAACTGGAAACTGGTTGCATCATGTACAGAACTTTGCTTGGCCTCAACCTGCCTGGGGTTCTC